CCATCAGATGCTCTGTTCTGGTCAAGAATATTGTCTTAGAGCCATCAATCTTTTTCTATAAAGTGGCCGTTTATAGTAACCCAGCAACTCTTATTCTAATGAAGCATCTCTGCCGCTGACAACTGTATGGCTCCAGAGAAAATGTATTCCTGCATTTCCGTGTTGGCAAAGAGTTACATTTTTCTCGCTAAGATATAAATAGTAGCTGTTCCATGAAATGGATAAACATTGCTTAGAGTTGCTATGAAGAAAAATGTGACTTAAATGCATTATCTTGCTAACAGAAAAAAATGAGACACTTGAGAGAATCAATTTCCATGAATCCAATTCTATCAAATCTGCTTTGCTCACAATCCTATACAGTGAAATTACAGTAGTGTGAGTTACTATGTCTTCCAGTTCATAATGTTTGTGCGTTCTGAGAAATTCCCAAGGGAAAGGGCTCACAATCTCCTAAATGTCAGGAGCCCATTAAAGGAGAAAAACATACAAGAGAAAGTGAGTAAAATGACCTCCAGTAAACTTTTGTCTCCTCCAGATGTTGTGTGCTACAACTCTCAGAAGACCCACCAAGTACAGCAAATAGTCAAGGACTGTAGGAATGAAATTTCAAAACAACTGGGACAGCAAATGTTTAAAATTACTAATGTAGAGAGATTCTAGTGCAGTGGTTCTCCACCTCTGGGTCCCCAGATGTTTTGGCTTTCAACTCCCAGAAATCCGAACAGCTGGTAAACTGGTTGGGATTTCTGGGAGTTGTAGGCCAAAGCACCTGGGGACCCACAGGTTGAGAACCACTGCTCTCGCAGATTGCTGTTTTATCTCTTTCAACGGAAGGCAATATAGGACACAGAATATACTGGATTTCTGTGTGTTCTCAACATTAAGGGAAGCAATACAGAACTCAAAAGCAAAGCAGGAGACGTCTGCTAACTGGATTCAGTAAATGATTCATTGTATCTTTAAAAAGAAGTTCATCTACATATAGAAATGTAGCTAGTCATAAAAATAAAGGCATCTTCCTGATGTGTGAGCTTTCCACAATCAGTGAGCCATTCAAGTATGTGGCTTCTGCAAATCCACTCTGAAACTAGTCCAGGAATGAGAAAATCAGCTGATAGATTTGCACAGTTTGAAGTGACCCTTCTGGAGTGTATTTCCTCCAACAAATTCAGTCATTACCTTATTTGTGATGCAAGACAGATGCCCCTCCCTAAAGAGAATACTCCCATATTTAGAAAAGGGGAAAACTCATTACTTTGTATTGTCGAAGGCTTTCATGGCTGGAATCACTGGGTTGTTGTAGGTTTTTCAGGCTACATGGCCATGTTCTAGAAGCATTCTCTCCTGATGTTTCACCTGCATCTATGGCAAGCATCCTCAGAGGTTGTGAGGTCTGCTGGAGCTAGGAAAACAGACCTCAAAAACCTCTGAAGATGCTTGCCATAGATGCAGGCAAAATGTCAGGAGAGAATGCTTCTAGAACATGGCCATATAGACCATAAAACCTACAACAACCCACTCATTATTTTGTTTTGTTTACTTTAATATACACTTCTTCAGCATTCATCTCATGCTGAATATGTTTTAAAAAGGGAAAGAGAGGGGGAGGAAAGATCTGATACAGTCATTTACAGTTATGAAACTGACACAAATTATCTTCTTTCCAGCCTGCCCTGTGTGAAACTGATAAAACACTAAGAGGAAAACCATTTTTGAAATTGTAAATAAAGTGCGGAAAGAGACAAGCTAGGATGTGGTGGACTTTACACAATGTTGTGGATAAACAATTTTAAAGGGATGGTGCAGCAGGTTAAACCGCAGAGTTACTGAACTTGCTGCCCGAAAGGTTGGCGGTTCAAATCCGAAGAGCAGTGTGAGCTCCTGCTGTTAGACCCAGCTTCTGCCAACCTAGCAGTTCAAAAACATGCAAGTGTGAGTAGATTAATAGGTACTGCTTCTGCAGGAAGGTAATAGCGCTCCATGCAGTCATGCTGACCGCATGACCTTCAAGGTGTCTAAAGACGACGACGACTCTTCTGCTTCGGAATGGAGATAAGCACCACCCATCAGAGTCAAACACGACTAGACTTAAAGTTGGGAAGACCTTCACCTTTACCTAGTAAGATGCATTGAAAGATGAATGACTAGGGTTCCTAACAGCCTACATACTTGATGGCATCACATCCCTTATGCAACAGCATTTTAAACATAATTCAAAACACACAGCTTTTTTGAAGAAACCAACAAAAAAAATCCCACTTGAAACTCAAGAAACAACCCAAATCAATTTATTGTTTTCATTGTAAAGAAAATTCAAACTGTGTGGCACAAACACACTAAGCCACAGCCAAAACGCTGGGTCTTGCTTCACATTGTGTTACTTCAAGCTCACAACTAAACACGCAATTCTACCTGGCTCAAGGGTCCATGTTGTAAACAGTGAACAAAATCACAGGGATAATGAAACTTTGTGCAACTGCAGCTGGATCTATACTGCCCTAAATCCCAGGATCTGATCCCAGATTATCTGCTCATCCCAGATTATCTGGCAGTGTCAACTCATATAATCCAGTTCAAAACAGATAATCTGGGATCAGATCCTGGGATATAGACCAGTGTAGATCCAGGCTGTCTGTCTGGTGCTCCATTAACACACAACAGCTAAAGCTCTCCAAGGGTGTGTCTATACTGTAGAAATAGTGCAGCTGGACACTACTTTAATGCTGTTGTACCATGGAAACCATAGTTTTACAAGATCTTTGGCTTTTTCTGCGAAATAATTCTGGTGCCTCACCAAATCACGAATCCTGTGATTCCACAACACCGAGCAACAGCAGCTAAAGTAGTGCCAAACTACACTATTTCTTAAGCCACTTCTACACTGTCATATAATCCAGATTATTAAAGCAGATAATATGAATTATATGAGTCTACACTGCCATATAATCTAGTTCAAAGCAGATAATCTGGATTTTATGTGGCAGTGTCAAAGGCACATTAGTCCCTAGTTGAAAGAACAGATACTAACATCTTGTTTTTTAACAGAGAAAAGCCAACATACGTATGCAAGGCAACTACGGACCAATTCAAGATTGAAATCCAGGCTGAATCTATACTGCCATATAAAATCCAAACTATCTGCTTTGAACTGGATTATATGGCAGTGTAGACACAAATAATCCAGTTCAAAGCAGATAATGTGGATTGGTCTGGATAATATGGCAGTGAAGATCAGCCCCAGGATGTGGGAACTTTTGGCCCTCCTAATTTTCTGAACACCAAGGCTAAAGGACAATGGGAATTATAGCCCAAATCATCCGACAGACCAAAAAATTCATGGCTTCTCTTTGGGAAGAGGACGCTTTTGGCTCAATGGTGGCTCTCAAATTTGTCCATCAGGCCATGTTCTTTTTAAACAGAGAAATGCTAAAAAAGGAGCAATTTACAACCATGAAAGGAGAGTCACAGTGTAAGATAGGTTTTCTACTCCCTTCCATATCCACTACAAATCTCTGTAAAATCTTGAGAAATTTTGTATAAATATCACAATCCCTTAAACAGATTTCTGTGACGTAGCCATGGCCACAGAGGCCTTGGTTGCGCCTGAGGTGAGGAAGGCGACTATAGCCCAATCCTCAATGTCAGAATGGATAAACTACACTGAAGGAATGAAAACTCAAAGAGATTTTGTACTGTCTTGTCAGGCAAAAATGGCAGGGTGAGCCAATTTACAAGCCTGCTCCTTTAAATGCAGTAAGAAATCTTAAGGGGAAGAACATAAAATCCAAAGAATTGTATTTCTCTTCTAGTGAAAAATAACTTATCTGGTGCAGCCAAGGATGTGTCTCCTTCCAAAATTAATTCAAAAGCTGGGGGCCTTATAAATGTTTAACTGACGAGGCAACACTGAACACAGCAGGGCTTCCTTTTAGGTAAACACACACAGAACTCGGCTGCATTGGCCGTCATTCAAAGGCCAAGACTTCAGCAGCCTCTTCTGCTGAGATGAGGGAAACTCCAGATGTTTTGGACTGCAGGTACCATGGTCATGCTGGGTTTGGCTATGCCAAGTAAGGTTGATGGAGGCTAAAATATCTACACAATCAAAGTTTCTCTGCCCCTGCCTTACTACAGACTTCTCTTTCAAATGCATTGGACTACATTCCCCAACATCATGGCATTCATGCTAGCTCGGATGATGGTAGATGTCATCCAACACATCTAAAGTTCAGTGGATGCGTTCTTGTGTCTAGATCTTTGGTCTTCTGTGTGTTTTGGAGTTCAGCTCCCACAATTCCTAAGATGCCTGGGATTTCAAGGCAAGAACACCTGGAGGATCAAAGGTTGAGAAAAAGATCTAGAGAAAACCAGAGGTCCGTCCTACTTCTTAATGTTTTCCTGGTACCTCTACTTTAGGACAGTGGTTCTCAACCTGTGGGTCCTCAGATGTTTCGGCCTACAACTCCCAGAAATCCCAGCCAGTTTACCAGCTGATAGGATTTCTGGGAGTTGAAGGCCAAAACATCTGGGGACCCACAGGCTGAGAGCCACCGCTTTAGGGCAAGCCTGGAGTATACATCCCAACAATGTCTGGAAGTACACACATCCCTAGTCCTGGAACTTGGGGTAACCGGACAAATCTTGAGGGCGACATATAGAACCAGTTTTCATTCCACATTCAGACAAGAGAATAGGAACACTAAATGGTGATTAATGCTTCTAAAGTCATTTGCTAGGATTGCCAGGTGAAATATGTGTAGAAGAAGATAATTCATCAGAAATTGCTTGGCATGCAAACACCACCTGCTGAAGTTTCCATTCAAGGAACAGGAATCTCGCAACTTCATCACTAAGGTTGATCATTTTCTGCTAACTTTCAGCTTTATAAAGCAAACCTATGTGTGATTACTCAGAAGCAAGCCCCTTACTTTCAGTGGGATCTACTCCCTTGTGCGTTTCAGATTGCTAAGTGAAATACAGAGACAGGGTCTCTGTGCCTTTACGGGTTGTGTTTATTTTCTGCATGATAAACACCACTTACTGAAATTCCCTTTTCTACACAACCATTATACTGTAGTCCAAATGTAATGAACTTTAGTGGTTCAGCTTTCAGTTACTCACATTTAAGCACAGCTTGGAAAGTTACTTTTTCAGACTATAACTCCCAAATCCTTGAGCTAATATTGCTAGTGAACAGGATGGCTAGGAGATTCTGGAAGTTCCTGTCCAAAAAGTAACCTTCCAAGCTCTGGATTTCATCCTCTTCCAGGTAGAGTTACATCTGTGTAAGCATCCATTTCACAGTACGAAAATGTTTTCCTTAAAAACTTAGCCTTTGAGAGGTTCTCAAAAAACTCTCTCACTTGAGGTTAAAGAAATAGTATGTGATATTTCAAACTTTGTCAATTTTGTCCTTTTCATACCACATGTTCTTTTCATAATTTTAACACATCTGAAGAAGGAAACAACATTTCTTTTATTATTTCTCAGCAAACTTTTTGTTCTTTTGAGTAAAATAGTGTTTTATGTCCTTGCAAACACTGAGGACTTAAAGGATAGGAGAAACACCAAAGTGTAAACCCTGTCAACATGTGGAACAAATATAAGCACTGCAGAACAACAAACAGTATAACACCATTTGCTATCAGCCTTCCATGGCCTGGTGCCCTGTGATGGACATGCTCTCTGGGGAAGATGCGAGTTACAATCTAGAAGATGTGAGTTACAATCTACAATCTGTGGGTCTCCAGGTGTTTGGCCTACAACTCCCAGAAATCCCAGCCAGTTTACCAGCTCTTAGGATTTCTGGGAGTTGAAGGCCAAAACATCTGGGGACCCACAGGTTGGGAAACACTGGTCTACAACCTCTAAAAGGCACCAACTTTAGGAAGACTGTCCTGGCTATTTAATCTAACAATAAACACTTAAATTCTGTCTCGTGATGGTAACCCTTTACTATAGTGACAGACTACCGGACAGGAGCAAAAGGAAACCACGCAACCAAATGGACTGAATTAAACACCCCATAGTAAACATGTACAATCATTTCTACAAGTAACTTTCATATAATACCAGTAGTAAGAAGCCATCTATCCGACTGAGAGGCCTCCTTTGGGGACAAGTAACACATTCACAGTTTTCCTACTCTGTTCTCCTGCATCTGTAGGAAGGACAGCAATTGTTGACTTGAACTCTTATATAAGAATTTGTGCTTTCAGAAGCGGCTGCAGAATTGCTGGAAGCTCCACATGCCTAAACATGTGCCTTCCAAGAACATGTGTCATAAATCCATGCTTGGCCCACTTGTTCGAGATGCTTTGATCTCCTTGACTGTAGAGACTTTTTTTTTTTAAAAGGAAAGGTAACAGGCCTTGTAGGAGAAGAGCAGAAAGGAGATAATTCTCAGTAGTATTTAGTCTTAGCTGCTCAAAGGAAAGGCAAGGGTCCCTTCTTGTCTGCTTGGAAAGTGTTGGAAGACCAGACAGAGCCTCAAAACTCACCCGTGTGCATTAGTGTCTCCAGAGAGATGGACAAAGGATTGCAATTGTGCTTATAGCAAAATCCAAGAGATACCCCTTCCCACATTACCACCACCTGAGTGAGAAATAGGCAGGCATATCCAAACACAATCATGCACGCTTCCTGTGCATAAAATTATGATGCTTATTATGAAATTGTGTCTGAAATCAGAGATGACAAGTCTCAGTGTCTCTTCTAAGCTCTGGCCTATGCTGCTGAATCCTCTCTTCACCTTGGTCCCAATAAGTAAGCTCCAAAATAACAGGGCCACAGGAACTTGTTCGGTTTTGTCAGAAAAGAAGAAGAAATCCATTACAGTTCCCATGAAATTATCCCTTGACTAAAAGACTGCAAGTATGTCCCACTCTTCAGGTTCAGCAGCAGTTGTAACCAAGCTTTCTGAGAAGGAGGGAGGTTGACTCAGATTTGCCATTCACTTCACATTGGGGGTTACACCAGCATTCAAGTAGATCCCTCTTCAGTAGGGCACAGCCCATTTTGTGACCAGACTCCTCCTTGCAAAGGCCCTGATGGGCTCCTATACACAGGTAAAACCCTGGCCATTCCAGCCTGGCACCATCTCTATTGCTAGTTCGCTTTGTAGACGTCTTTCCGCAGCCGCACTTCTTTCAGCACCCGGGCCCGGAAGGCATCCCAGTCCTCACCACTTTGACGTTGCAGGCCCATGGCATCTTGGATGGCCTGGCAATGTGTCCGCAGGAAGGGGTTGTATTGTTTTTCCTCACCAATGGTAGAAGGACACTGGAGGGGAGGAAGAGAAAATATGAGACATGTGCAACCTTTGAGTGTGGACAATGGGTAGCATGCCGTTGTCATAACTTCTCAAGAAAGGTGTTGGAAGACAGAGATGTGTAGTCTCCGTCTTCCAACACCTTTCTTGAGAAGCAGATCATACTGGGAAATACAACTTGCAACTTTCCCTCCTAACCTCAAGAATAGATTGCATCTTCCTCCACATTGCACGTGTCAAACTCTCTGCAAGAGCACTATGCCCATTCCGAACCCTAACCGGAAACAGATGCCTGGGGAAGATACAGGCAGAAACTTTCCCCAAACAGCTACTTCCAGTTGGGAGAAAGAGCCAGGAAGCTCGTCTTGGGTGAGTGCCATAGCACTTGTACTGAAGTCTGCCATTGCCTGCTGGGCAAAGGGCTGATGGTGGGGAGTCAGGACATAATAGAGGCCACACAGCAACTCAAGGGAAGGGAAAAGAAGCACATGCAGATTGTTTAAATCTGTCATCCATAACAAAAACTTTCCAAAATGTTCAAATTTCCCACATCTCCCAGCTCTTTTTTCCATATTGGTTGACAATAGGTCTAATATATATACATGCATACACGGCACACTCATCACACACTCCTTACCGTACTTCTCTTCTCAGTTCGCTGTTGATTCACCCATTGTAACTTCTGCAACAGAAATGGGTTCTCCAGTTCCAGAAGGTTTGCAAACATGAGGCACTCTAAAGCATATTCATGCCCTAAAGAAAGAAGATACATGGTCAATGATGGGCTACCTACATTTCAAGCTGTACCTCCAGTTAGTCCCAATAAACAGCTCTCTAGTATGGGTTCTAGGTAGAAGGAGGATCTCTATGCAACTGCCAAAAGAGGCCACAAGCATTTCCTGGACCTGCTGGAGACTATGGCACTCTTGTTCAGTGGAAGAGAGTTGTAGAATAAGCAGTCTTCCAAAGGCAATTGTAGTGTAACGACAATTGATGAATCAGTTTTGTATCATGCTTTGCTCTAATATCAGACTCAAAAGAGTTCCATGATAAAGCTTGAACTGTTTATATAATAAGCAATCCTGTTTAAAACACTCATTTGAAAAGATTTTAAAATATAATACCTCCAACATTAAAACAGCTACCCCATAACAAAACTAACTGATTATAGGAGTTACTTTCATCAACAGCCACATGTTTCCCATTCCTATGCTATGGGATCCAGTTAGGCTTATACATTTGCCCTCATCTTTTGTACAGATAAATCCAGCCTGCATCCACACACTAAGCCATGGATTTGAGCATATATCTCAGATTCAAACCAGGGGAGCAGAATTTGGAAGACTGGGCACAATACACACTAAGAGCTATGATTTCATCTTTCAACAGGCAGGGTTATTTTAAATATATGTGCTATTGTGGTTTCTAATGCTTGTTTTGTCTTGTTAATTTTATGTTCATGCTGTTCTTTTTGTATGTATTGATTATGTCACTTGGAAATCGCTCTGAGTCCCCTTGGGGAGATAGAGCGGTATATAAATAAAGTTTTGTTGTTGTTGCTGTTTCCCAGCCATCAATCTCACAGTTCTTTGATGGACTGTAGTCCATGAAAGCTTATAGTAGAAACTTTTTTCCTCTTAGTCTCAAAGGTGCTATTTTATGACTTCTCATCCTCTGAGCATTTGCTATGCTGTCTGGGGATTATGGGGGTGTAGTTATCAAACTCTGTAGGCCCATGGTTATGAGGTTCTGCTGCACATTCCCATCAAGCATCTAGGAACCAGGAGTCCCCGGTGGCGCAATGGGCTAAACCCTTGTGAAGACCAAAAGGTTGGAGATTCAAATCTGGGGAGAGCACGGATGAACTCCCTCCGTCAGTTCCAGCTCTCCATGTGGGGACATGAGAGAAGCCTCCCACAAGGATGGTAAAATATCAAACATCCAGGCATCCCCAGGGCAACGTCCTTGCAGATGGCCAATTCTCTCAGACCAGGAGCAACTTGCAGTTTCTCAAGTTACTCCTTTCACAAAAAAGTCTATGAACCAAACAGAACGTATTTGAAGATGGTCTTTTAATTCACACAGCAAAATACAAAATAATCCAAAATCCACAAAAAAACATTATGCCTTCATTGGTCCACCAAAATGCAGAAAATGCATCATGCATTTCAAAAGCTTGCATGATACATTTTCTGCATTTTGATGGACCAATAAAGGCATCACTCTTTTTTAGATTTTGCATTTTCTTGTTGTAATATGAACCCCACAGCATTCTTCACTGGCTGCTTCACTTATACACACACAAGTTTTTCTACATCCCCATTATAGCCATTGGAGTATGTCAATTCTATCTCCTGAGACATAAGGGCAAAAATAGGTGAAAACTGGATGAGGGGTTGTCATTGCACCCACCTGGCCAAAGCAGCGTATCTTCAGCAAGGTTAGCTGCCAAGTCTAGAGATGCCAACATTGTTTCTGGGGTGCCTTCAAATATCCGCCCTACACAAGAGGAGCAGGGAATGAGGAAAACACAAGAAAAATAGAATGAGAAAAACAACAGCCAAGCCCGCCAGCTACTAACTGCAACTGCAATTGGTCACTTTTACAATTGAAGTTTTGCAGTTGGGTTCCAGAACCCACGAACTGTGATCTGAGGCCCCACAGCAGCACATTTCAAGTCCAACGCTTTGCTTGCTCTGCATTTTAACACCTGATTGTCTGGACCCTGAACAAACAGCAGAAGATGCCTTTGTCTTTTCCCCACACATGTCGATTAGCAGCAGTTATTACAGTCTGCTTGAATCATTTTTGTCAATCCTGCTGACTCATTATGACACTTGAAAATAACTTTTTCCCCTTCCTCTTTATGTTCTATGTTTTATTTATACTGAAAGCCTGAGGGCAAAGACTGGTAACATTACCTTCAAGAAAGCTGCTCTGAAAGCCTTTTTACCCAAACGGCAGGCTGTAAATGGTTTAAAATCAATTAATCGAACTGTTGCTGTCATTGTATTGTCAAAGGCCATGAAAGTCTTTGACAATACAATTGTGACAATGTTAGGAATTAATTACATCTAACCAAATAAATAAACAAGTGGCAGAATCAGGCCCCTGAGGGAAAAAAATCTACACAGACGATATTAAAAGAAATCACTGTGGTTGTAGATAAGAGGTCCTTGAGGTAGAAGTCCACCCTCACCCATTCCCCTTGGTGAAACAAATGGAAGGTGGATCTCTGGGACGATACAGGACAGAACCAAACAAAATTGAACTGCATTGTGATGACCCATCTCCCATCCTAAAAGAAGAGAGAAGAATACAAACAAGTTGCTAATAGGAAGGTTCACTTCCCTGTTCTGTTCCTAACCACCTCTATATACCTGATTTGCCTATCATAAACTATTTAATAGTGCCTACCAAAAACAAAATAATTTTTGGTTTGGTGAAAGGTGGCCACATCCATTGCAGACAACCACTTTAAAGTACAAGCAGAGCCCTGGAGTGGATTCTCAAGATGACTGACATGGAAGCCACCATCCAGCAGTGGTTGGGATGCAGCGCTTTCTGCTTCTCCTGCCCCTCAATCAGTTGCAAACTTACCACAGCCGGAGAGGAAGAGGAGGTCTCCAGAGAAGAGGGAGGCTGGTCCCTCGAAAGGCTTTCCATCCAGTAGGTAGACCATGTGTCCCACAGTATGTCCTGGAGTAAAGAGGGCCTTGAAGTTCAATCGCCCTATCGTGATGGTCTCCTTGTCTGTGAGGGGGCTAGAACACAGATTTGGGTTTCAGATAGAAGAAAGAAGGACATACATATAACCAGCCTCGGGGCCCTTCCACACAGCTGAATAAAATCCCACAATTTCTTCTCTGAATTGGATTATATTGCAGTGTGGACTCAGGTAACCCAGTTCAAAGCAGATGTTGTGTATTATCTGTCTTGATATTCTGGGTTATATGACTGCGTGGAAGGGGCCTCAGAGGCCTTAGTGTGGTATTTGAAATATTGGGCCCCTCCTTCCCTAACTAGCCAAATATATTCCATAGACAAACAACACAGCATTCAAAGACAGAGCCATGTTAGTCTGTATGAAAACGCAAAGGGATGTTGTAGCATTTCTTATAGAATTAATGTTTGACTCCACTTTAACTGCCATGGAGCAAGGCTAATTTTACAAGGCCCTCCGATTTATTTGAAAGTTGAAAGTGGTGTCAAACTGAAATTAATTTTACAATGTCAATGCATCCTCAGAAAAAAAAAGTTGTGAGAAATCACACAGCAGCTTGCCTCAGAGATTCATAAACTTTAGCAGTGCATAATTTATCTGTACAGTTATTTATTAATTAGTTGGTTGCATTTATACTTCACCTTTCCTTCAATGTGCTTAAGGAAAAATGCATGGCTCTCAGCATCCCCTCTTTAATTCCAAAGCAGCCCTATGAGGTAGGGCCGTATGAATAGGAGTGACTAGGGCCCCTTCCACACAGCCGAATAAAATCCCACATTATCTGCTTTGAACTGGAATATATGGCAGTGTAGACTCAGATATTCCAGTTCAAGGCAGATATTGTGGGATTTTCTGACTTAATATTCTGGGTTATATGGCTGTGTGGAAGGGCTCTAGGGGCCCTTCTGCACTGCCATACAATCCAGAATATCATAGCAGATAATCCACATTATCTGGTTTGAACTGGATTATCTGAGTCTACACTGCCATATAATTCAGTTCAAAGCAGATAATCTGGATTTTATTCAGATATGTAGAAGGAGGCTGAAGGCCCTTCCAGACACTCCCTATATCCCAGGATCTGATCCCAAGTTTTCTGTTTATCCCAGATTACCTGGCAATGCGGACTCATATAATCCAGTTTAAAGCAGAAAACCTGAAATCAGATCCTGGGATATAAGGCCTGTCTGGAAAGGCCCTAAGAGAGAATGATGGACCAACGTAATCCATATCTCCATAGGGATTTAAACCTGGATCACTTCAATCCTAGTTGTTAAAGTATCACAGCTACACCACTCTGACTCTTTGATTGCTGCATGTTTCTGCCTTTCCCCAGCCATGTTTCAGAAGAAGGGAGAAAAAACAGACAGTTGCCAGACCACAGCTTGGAAAATGTGATTTTTTTGTCAGCCATCCTGAAATCCATGTAAATCTCCCAGCTCTGCTGTACCAGACAGAGATGAAAGCTAACTGGAGAGATTACTTGTACATTCCAGGTTCGGCATGCCATGCTCATCCATATTGGGGCAGAGGAAGCAGAAAACAAAGGTTACTCACTCTGTCAGCTCAGGGATGTCATCATAACTGCTGCCATAGACTCTGCAGGAACTGTGCCGTCGCTTCAGTGCTGCGTTGCCCCCACTGTGATCCCTATGAGATGAGGCTTATTAGTCATGAGGCTACAGAAACCCTGCCTTTCCAGTTACAAGCTCTTCGGCATCAAGACTTATTTTCATATATCTCCATGGCCTACCAACATAATGGGACAGAAGGGCTGGCAATCAGATAAACACCCCCTCCCCTCACAATATTCTTCACTCTGCCAAACATTTATCCCTAATGGGGTTGCAATTGACTTGCTCAGTGCATGCATACTAAGGAAGGGGCTTTTGAACTCTTTTGTCTGGACCTCACAAAGAGAAAGGGAAGGAGGAAGCCCCCTTACCAATGTTTGTGAGTGCACAGGATGGCCTCCAGCGTCACTCCCTCTTTTTCAATGACTGACTGCAGAACAAGAGAAAGAAAGATGTGTCAGAGCAGCCACGATCCTGCATCCTGATCAAAGTAGTTTAAGAATTCTAGCATGAAACATATGAGATCCACAGCTCCATGGCTTTCCAGTTCTTCTCTTCCATAATAGAGTTGGTTGGCTACTTAGCAAAAAAGATTCCTGAGTTACACAGGCCTTTAGTCTGACCCAGAAGAATATCATCCCAAGTACGAACAAACATATAATGGCCTATATCTTATTATAGTCTCAACTAGAGTAGACCCAATTAATAAATTTGAATTATCATATATACTCCAGTATAAGCCGACCTGAATATAAGCCAAGGCACCAATTTTTACCACAAAAACTGGGAAAACATATTGACTCAAGTATAAGTGGAGGGTGGGAAATGCAGCAGCTACTGGTAAATTTAAAAATTAAAATAGATATCAATAAAATTACATTAATTGAGGCATCAGTAAGTTAAATGTTTTTGAATATTTACATAAAACTGTAATTTAAGATAAAACTGCCCAACTCTGATTAAGCCATTATTCTAACCTTCTTCAATATAAACATGCTTATGTATCCTTCCAATAATAATAAAGAGAGTAACATAATAAATACAATAATAGCAATAATAATAGAGTAAAATAATGTAAATGTAATAATAGAGTAAAATAATAAATGCAATAATAATAGAGTAAAGTAATAAATAACCCTGACTCAAGTATAAGCCGGGGGGGGGGGGGGGGGGGGGGGGCTGAAAAACTCAGCTCATACTCAAGTGTATATGGTATTATTATTTGTTACTGCCTCTCCTCACAGCTCAAGGTGGGGTACAATGTAATTAAAACACACAGATAAAACATAACACCACTAAAATGCATATATTTAAAATGTTGTCCTAATTTTTGACAGCTTATTTAGCTATCAAATCTTTTCCACCAGGCAATTCCACAGTTGTGGGGCAGCTGATGAAAAGGTCCTCTGGGCAACAGTTGTCAATCTAGTCCTTGCTGCCTGAAGTAAACATCCTCCAGAGGACCTCAGTGTATAGGGTGGACTATGGGAGAAGGCAATCCTGTAGGGCTTTCAAGCTTATAACCAACACTTTCTACTTTGCCCTGAAATTAATTGGTAGCCAGTAGAGTGACTTTAATATGCTCATTCCAAGATGTTCCTGTAACCAATCTGGTTGCCCTATTTTAAATCATATGAAGTTTCTGAACTTGGAACAAAGGTAGCCCAATGTAAAGCGCATTGCAAAAGTCCAACCTTGAGGTTACCAGCACATGGACTACCATCTTTAGATCCTTCAAATCTAGGAAGGAATATAGCTGGCATATCAGCCAAAGCTGATAATAAGTACTCTTGACTGTCATATCTACCTGGGTTGACATTTGGAGGGTTGGATTCAGGAACACTCTCAAGCTGCGAACACAGTCTTTCAGAGGGAACGTTACCCTATCCTGAACTGGTTGACATGTCTCCATCCCCAGATTAGGATCCAAGGTGGTAAGCACCTCTGTCTTATCTGGATTCCATTTCAATTTGTTTTTCTTCATCCAGTCCATTATCTCCTCCAGGTATTCATTCAGAGGGAACATTATCCTTAGCTAAGGCTACTTTTGAAGGCATGGAGAAATATATTTGGGTGTCCTTAGCATATTAATAGGATCTTGTCCCATGCCTCTGGATGATGTCTCCCAGCAGTTTCATGTAAATGTTTGTGGAATGCCACATAACTCCTTTTTTGAGGAGCAGTTATCCTCAAGCACCACCATCTGGAACCTGCCTGAGATGTTCAACCAGAACTACTGCAACACAGTGCATCTGATTCCCAAATACCCAGGCATTCAAGAAGGATATCATAGTCAATGGCATCGAACACTTCTGAGAGATCTAAAAGTACCAACAGAGACACTCCCCCTGTCAGTGTTAGGATGATATATAATATCCCCAGCATGCCTCCAATGACCAGCAAGCCTGAATCTGAGCATACTGTTGCACTCATTCTTAGTCATTGACTTCACACAGGTATCCAACTGGGTTCTGCTAAAATCGAATACCAGGCCAGGAGTGTCTGATCTAACAAGATTCTTGTGTTCTTAACACATCAACACAAATCTGAAGAGCAGAGGTTTGTGGATTTGCAGTACCAGATCTCCCCCTGTCTTGATTTCCCTTTTAATCCTCTCACTGTATATACAGGAAGAAAGAGCAGCCTACTAGACTGAAAGGCTTCCGCTCTTTGAATATATAGAGTAGCTGGACTTTGGGGAAAGCAATGCTTACTGATCAAAAATTGAACTAATGAGGGCTCAGTTGTTACCAGGGGAAGCAGCAACTTCTGGCCTTGAGTCAACCATATCATTCTTCTTAAATTGCCCAGTGTTCGGCTACTTCTCCAGACAATCCATGCATAACGTTTACTTTCCAAGACTGTGGCAAATGGGCAGCGCTTCCTCTTATTGGGCATTGCCTCCTGTCCTCAAAGTTATTCATTACCAGGATATTTCATATCCAATTCACCCATCTGCAAATAAATTACTGGAATTGGGGCAATGGGGCTCTGGCATCAACTTTTGTATTACTGTTACCAGGAGCTGGGAAAAGTGTTTTTTTTCCCTTGGGAAATTCCAGTAGTACAATAAAGAAACTTTTCTCAGCTCTGTACATATTGTTAAAGTTGTTACTTGCCAAGGGTGTTGCCTGGCTTTCTTTTGTAGCATATTCTCATGAGTACAGGTATTTTTCTTAACAGTTATTGATATTTCACTGCAACACACATTGCACTAGTCTAAATCAGGACACTTCCTAGACCCCTCCACCAAAAAACCCCAGCAGATGAGGATGGGGGGGGGGGGACATAGGAAATGACTTGAAAGCACTCCCTTGTCTTCTCCAGTCTGAATGTAGACACACTACCTTTGGCCTCTTAGGTTTGGTTGTCTTATACTGCTGTTGCAAAATCAGCAAAACATGCAAAGCTGCTGCTGTCACTTGAGTATAACAGGAAGAGCCAGCTGCGGAGACAGAAGCCTTTGAAGAGGAAAGACAAAAATGCCCCCGGCAGAAGCAGAAGAGACCCTGCTACTCATCCCGTGAGACTGTGCTGTGACCTTGACTTCAACTTGCCCGTGTCTAGCTCCTACTTAATCTGATTGCTTTCCTGTCCATCTATAGGAGGAGAGGCAGACCGGGGTGTGGAGGAGGAGTTATAATCAATGGAAGGGAAGGGAAGGAACACAATAAGCAGACCAAGATGTACGTTTCCTTCTTTGCAGAAATCTTGGAAAGTACCAGGTAATGCCGCTGAAGCAAGCCAAGCAAGTATTGTCTTTGGCTGGAATGGCAGGCACAAACAAACATGAGCAGGATTCCATCTACTAAACCAACTGTCAATCTATAAAAGGAAGTATACGAGCAGTCCTCAGCACACAGCCTCCCCTCTCCACAACACACACACACATACACACAGTCTAGGTCTGGATTAACGTTGCGAAATCAGCTTGGCTCAAGGTACATCAAAGCTGTAGGGCAGCAGGGAGTTGCTCATGGGAGCCCTAGGCTGTTTTTGTGCCCTTTGATTTCTCCAAACTCCTAGGATTATCCCTTTCTCTGACAAAAAGTGATTGTCTTCCCTGTTAAAAAATTTATTCTGTATCAAAATCATTGCATAAATTAGTATAAAAACTGATAATAAATAGAAGGAGCACAAGCGGCTAAATATATTTGGACCAAAAACAGCAACAGCGACCGCACTGTCTGTAGCCTCAAACAGTTCTTACTCTGTACATGAAGCAGGACATTGCGGACAAGCATACAGCTGCAGAGTTGCCTGTTCTGCTCCACAGTCACACAAGGAGGAGGATTCTTTTAAGTAGTTCAATTTTGCCAGGTTGTCTTTTGATCTGCTCACTCCACTACTGAGTCTGTTCAGGGACTTCCAAGTTGCCCATTCTTGGTTTGCCCCTGGAGAAAGACCCTCATGGGGGGGGGGGGCATACAATTGGGATTTCCTAGCATAGTTGCTCAGAGGGATTCTCTTGCTATTCTTGGGGGACGTTAAGAGGAGTGATGGTTCTCATGAAGCTTGTCCTTGATTTGAGTCTACTGGGAGGAGGCTGATAGCTATGCAGTGGATGGCTTTCACAGTGTTCAACCTTATTTCTCTCACAGTTGGCAGCAACTTCCCATCACACACTGGGGGCGGGGCAATGCCAGCTAGCTTGTAGAGTTTATCAACAGGTGTAGGTTTGAGACATCCTGTGATTATTCTGCATGCTTCGTTCAATGCTGTGTTCACCTGCTTTGTGTGGACAGACTTATGCCAAATTGTCCTCCCTGAAAGCTTTAAATAAGATGCAGGCATTGTCTGTTTACCATGAATAAAACAAAATACTAGTTTTCAAAACCACAAGTAGAGTTCTAGAGACTTTTGATCATCTGTGTGAAGTTTCCAGAGGATTTCAGAGGACAGAAAACATAGGAATGGGGAACCTTTGGTCCTCTAGATATTACCAGGAAAGGACAGCACATTTTGATTTAGCTTGAACCAATTTTGTTCCCCTGGTTGTAGGCTTAGTTAACAGAAGCCTAGAGGCTACGTGGCTTTTAACACTCTAGGCACTCTAGGAATATGGTTTTTGACACTATAGGCACTGTTTAGTGTAGTACTGTGTTGTATTGTTTATTATGATTTTTTATTTTCATAAGGTGGTTGGGTTTTAAATGCTTTTTATTAAGTTATGTCTGTGTTTATATGTGTGTGTGTGTATAATTAGTCGGTGACCAGTACCAAAAACTGTATGTACGGACCTGTGGCATTGAATATTTGCCTTTTATGTTGTTAGCTGCTCCAAGTCCCATATTGGGAGATGGGGTGGGATATAAATAAAGTTGTTGTTGTTATTGTTGTTATTGTTGTTGTTGTTGTATACAGTCACCAGACTACACAATGAGCATCCACACTAAGGGACTGAGAGAACACAGTTTCCCATTCAAACAAATATTTCAGATTTGGATAATCAAATCGGAAAGGAATAAAGAAAATTCTAGTCTTGCTTGACAAGGGTACTGGGATGGGTAGTGGACTGAGGAACAGCTCAGGGAACTGAGAACTGGGATTGTTTAGACCAGTATTTCTCGAACTATGCTCCTCCAGGTGTTTTGGACCTCAGCTCCCAGAAATTCCAGCTGTTAGGAGTTGTGGGAGATGATGCCTAAAACATCTGGAGGAGCACAATTTGAGAAACTCTGAAGAAGAAAGGCTTAAGAAATGACATGGTAGCCATGATTAAATATTTGAAAGTTTGTCACAGGGAAGATGAAGCATGCTTGCTTGCAACTCCAGAGATTAAGACAAAGAACAATGGATGCAACTGACAGGAAAACAGGTTCCACCTGAACATTAGGAAGAACTATGGTGGAGTCTCTTCTCTGGAAGTTTTTAAATTAGGTTGGATGAATATCGATCAGGAGTTATTTGATTATGTGTTTCTCCATGACAGAATGGGGTTAGACTGGATGGCCCTTGGAGTATCTTCCGACTCTATTGCTATGGAATGCCCTTCCCATGGAGGTAAGATCAGCCCCCTCGCTGATGGTGTTTCGAAGAAGATTAAAAACCTGGATGTTCGAACAGGCATTTGGTTAATTCGGCGCAATGAATGTGATGATTAAAGGATTGGTAATATGGACGACGAAACTGGATCACGATTTTAGTCAGGAGATGCATTGGATTGTTATTGATGTGCCAATATTGTGTATTATGTTTTTATTGTTTTAAATTGTATACTGTTGACGGTTGTATTTTGTATGTTGTATTTTGTTGTAAACCGCGTTGAGTCGCCAGCGAGGCTGAGAAACAGCAGTATACAAGTACAGTAAATAAATAAATAAACAAATAAATAAATAAATAAATAAAATATTGTTTTATGATTCTACGTCACTTTTGGCTTTTCTCACCTGCACAGCCAAAGGGTCCGAGGGATCCACAGCGACAGCGCAGTTGGATCCAGTGTCAATAACAAGGTAGCTGTAGTTATTGGACAAAACAGGGATAGGCAGTATCTTCATCCCTAGAAAGACAAAAGGGGACTGAAGACATCAGAAAAGTAAACACAGCAAACACCAACAGTTGTTACAGGATTTCTTTCAATAATATTTTGTTAAGTGTTTTTGAATATTTAGAAAGATAAATACATAAAAGTCAGAGTAAAAATGTTTAAGACCGGAGATGAAACAGGTGTAACTCTCCATATGTTCTTAGATTTCGACTATTAGCCCATATTATCAGTGGTAAGAAATGATTGGAGCTGCAGTCCAGTTTCACTGAATTCCATCTTGAGGGAAGGGTGATATATAAATAAAACAAATTAATAAACAACATCTGGGGGCCCCAACATTGTAGTTGGCATGCCAGCTATAGAAGAAGGCAGAATATGTTCTCTTCAAAATATTCAGATATATTACAGTTTCAGTACATAATATACACCCTTATATTATTCATTCAGAAATCCGATAGATACAAATTAAAGCAGAGAGGCTTCTTTAATTCATTAAATGTATGTTGGACTTCGCTGTCACTCAGACTAAATGTGTCTTCCCATTCTCTTTAGATACAGTCAGCCTTCCAGTTTCACAGGCGTTAGGGATGCAGGCAGGCAGGGTGCCTGGGCCAGGCCACATGCACGTTCCCTCACTCACTCATTCACTTGCTCAGGTGTGTGGGGTATGGGGAGGAAAGGGGTGGAACTGGGGAGCAGGAGGACAGATGGCAGGTAATGTGTGGGTCTCTAGTGTGGACGAAGGGAGTATTATTGCTGAAAGAGCAGCTGTCACAACTCCTTCCCATTGCCACTGCTACCCTGGCTCTCTCCCCATCCTCTCCACCACAATGATGATGATAACAACAACAACAACAACAACAACAACAACAACAACACTTTATTTATATTCTGCCCTTCTCCCCATGGGGACTCAGAGAGGATTACAGTGTAAACAGATACCGGCAAACATTCAGTGCCTCGTTACAATTCAACGAGACACATAAACACAAAACTAAGGCAGAGGCTTCTCCTTTCCTTTCTGGCTTTGGAGGCAGTGCTCATCTCTGGCTCTGGGGGAAGTGCTGCTCTCCATTTTCAAGCTAAGGAGCCTGTGTTATCACCTCCTGGTCGTGTGACCGGCATGACTACTTGGAGCGTCTTATGCCTTTCCTGCCAAAGCAGTGCCTATGTATCTACTCACATTTGCATATTTTTGAACTGCTAGGTTGGCAAGAGCTAGGCTAACAGCGGGAGCTCACCCCATCCTGGGGATTTGAACTGCCAACCTTCAGGTCAGCAGTTCAGCAGCACAAGGGTTTAACCCATGGCGCCAACATGGCCCAAGCCATCCCACCCCCTTCCTTTACTCAGACACTAATGTACCACATGCTCTCCCTCCTGATGCTCCTCTGTCCCATCCCATTTTTCCCTGCCCACACCCTGCAGGCTAAACATATCCAGAAGTTAAACCCACAAATGTAGGATGATTGTGAAGTGCATCAACTCATGCACTCTCTTTGCAATATTTTGACTATAGGTACATCCACGCTGTAGAGTTAAAGCAGTTTCACACCAATTTAAATACCGTTGTGTAATGCTATGGAATCATGGGAGTTGTAGTTTGGTGAGGTACCAGCATTTTTAAACAGAAAAAGCCAAGGACCTTGTAAAGCTACAACTCCCCTCATTCCATAGCATGGAGCCCAAGCGGTCAAACTGCATTAATTCTACAGTGTAAATTCACCCTATGAGAGAGTTTTTCAGATCTGAAAAATATTTACAACAATAGCTTGAAAAGATTCTTTGAATTTCAAAGCCTTCTCAAAGTTTCTTATAGAAGACTACATACAGCAATAGCCTGTATTTTTCTAATTGCTCAATATTTGAATAACTTTACAGGGAAAGTGGCATAATCCATATCCCAGACAAAAACAGAAGCGGAGATCATGGGTTAGAGCCTTAGAACTTCTTCTGTTTTTAAAGAAACCACAATGTAAAATAAATGGAAGTACAAACACAAAACAATAGTTATGCAACGAGGGAAGGACACTGTTCAAAGCAGCAAACATTCTTGACTTTTAGTGTGTGTATGTGTGTGCGTGCTAATAAACAAGCTCTGAGACGTTTCTGTGTCAAACAATAGCAACAACAAGGAAAAAAAAGCTGGAAGAAACTTGGCTACAGCTGAGTGTGCATGCACACACATACACGCTTGACCGCTACAAGTTCAGCCGATCCCAAAGATCAAATCTGTAAAGACTGAAACTTGTTTGTCTTTTTGCAAGAAGTTAGAACAGTGCAGAGCAATAATTTTGCACATGTTGGAACAGACAAGCTAAGCACAACACGGGAAGGCTTTAAGTCTGTATAGTAGGTATACAGTATTCATCTTGAGTCTTCAATGTCTGGAAGTTTTTAATTTTTTTGGGGGGGGGGAGGAGTAACATCTCAGGACACTGATTTCCATATCAGCATCAATGTTTTCCAGTATATGCAACCTTATATGTTTCCTCGAGGTTCAATCAGAAGGAATACTCATGCAAAATGTCTCTAGATAATGCAGTGTATATAATTACCAGTGATGCAGTTAAGAAAAAGTCAAGTACTCACCATTGAACACTGCAGGCTGGGGAAGGGAATGCCCATGGGGGTATCGCTCCCGTGCTTTCTTTACTTGCCGCTTGTAGAACAGGTAACCCAGCCGGGTGTGGGCATACAGATTGTACCTGAGGAACAGGAGGGAGAGGTAAACATACAGGTGTGTCAGAACACTTTATGATTTATGAACCAAGTCTTCTGTATACTGGTGCACAGCATTCCTTTGACCGCCATGACATTTCACCAAACCATTACCTATAATCCCGAAGGTTTTTTTTTATAAAGCCAGGATAAATGTGTTGATGACTGTGGTAAGGATCAGGAGTCTGGGAATCTAGCCTAAAATGTGCCTACCGCAATGCTTGGCAGACTGGAAAATGTGCTTTTTTGGACTAAACCTCCCAGAATCCCACAACCAGCACAGCTGCAGTCTGAAAAAGGAACATGTCCAAGCTTAGGAACTTGATTATCCAGCACACTGTTAGTGTGATTTTACATTAATGGCTCATATTTGCATTACACAACTCTCTTCTGGAGACAATGACAAACTTTTTATTTCAAGGCATGAAGATTACTGCAGACGCAGACTGCCGCCAGGAAATCAGAAAACGTTTACTTCTTGGGAGGAGAGCAATGACCAATCTCAATAAAATAGTGAAGAGGAGGGACATCACACTGGCAACGAAAATCCACATAGTTAAAGCAATGGTATTCCCCGTAGTAACCTATGGATGTGAGAGCTGGACCATAAGGAAGGATGAGCGAAGGAAGACAGACGCTTTTGAACTGCTCTCAAGCCAGGTGTCCTCCATTCTGTATATTTGTATTTCATTTTTTCTGCCTAAGTAGAGTATCTTGCATTTGTCCCTGTTGAACTTTATTTTGTTAGTTTTGGCCCATCTCTAGTCTGTTAAGATCTCTCTAGTCTATTAAGATACTGGAACACTGATTGCATTTTGATGCCCTGGCTCACATTAAGCTCCAAATCCATTTTTGGACACTTGGTTGTTGATTCACAAACCATTCCAGTAAAAAGTTCCAACCATACAATGCTTCCCTTTGTGAGAGAAACAGAAATGAATTCATAATTGGTCCTTACTCTCTATTGTCCCAAATTCTCTGATTCCTGGCAATTCCTCCACAAATGTTTCATAAGTTCTAGGGGTTCTTTCTCAACCAGGGAAAAACCTGAAATCAAGACATGGCAAGATGCAACTAAAGAACATGACTATGATACAAGAGCAGAGCTCAAGAGAGAAATGAAATCAGAGAGTACCGTGGGATAAAAGCAGGAAAAGAGAGATTATCTTGTTGACGTGGACATGGAAGCTCTATTAAATTTCATTCGTTCTAATTATCATTTGATTCCTGGAATAGATTTTCCAGCCGCATGATGGGGGTCAGCTTGTCTCTGCCTTAGTAAGGCTGTGCACCCACCCTTCCCATCGACAACAGAGAAAGTTGAGCTCCATGCATTGCAGGGTCTGCATTTCCTGCCATGCCACCTGGGAAACCAGCAAAGGGCATGCAGGCTGAGCTGTCACCCTCCCCACAGTCTTCTGGCTGCTTATTACAGGCTTTAAACCTTGAGGAATGTTACACGAAAAGCAGGTTGAAAGCTGGCCAGCTCCCTCTCAGAGCAGTTTCCTGGAAGACAGATCATCCTCCAAGCTGTGTGTACAGGAACTTCCTCTGGCAAACCTTCATTATGAACACTCATCATTAGATACTTAGCATGTGATGTGGGCTACTGTTGAGATTAATTTTAAGCAAAGCACGCACCGGGGGGGGGGGGGGGGGGGGGGGGGGAGCACTGAGATTCACCCAGCCCTTCAAGGTTGTTGGACTGCAGAAGATCATCCATCTAAAAGCTTGGAGCAAAAAAAATGGATTTGTTTTAAATTGTTGCAAGCCCCCTTGTGCTATCTTCTGGGAGAAAGGTAGGAGATAATTTTAAAAAAGATTAAAAAGAATGGATTCACCACCCCACTAACACAAAAACTACCAGTCACCAAGGGGATGGCAGAAAAATAAATAAGGCATTGGCAGACAGAAGAGACAAAATCAATAGGAGCATGCATTCTAGAGCCCATTCACACTATGCAGTTATAGCACTGTGCCATGATTTCATTCCATGGAATCACTGGCTTTACTGTCATTACATTCACCAGGTATCCCTGTCCAAACTACAAATCTTATCATTATGCCTACAAGTTTTGCATTTCTGTTGCTACTCAGAAATACAACCTACTCATTCATAGCTATAAAGAGTGATTATTAGCTTAGGAATTGTTTTTGATATCACAAATTCTGCTCCCAGTCCAGTAAAAAAAAAAAAAGTGTTGGCCGCCACAATCAACCAGCAGCTCTCTTCAGCTTCAACAGCCTAACATAGAAAATGGGAAGGAGTCAACTGGCCCTTGCTGACCTTTTCCTGCAGGGTCACCCGGAGATCTATCAGTAGAGCATAACCTACTTTCTGACCTCCCCTGGTGTACAGCTCATTCACTGAGACAGAAAGGGTACCAAAGAAAAGTCCAGTGTGTGCCAATAACTGAGTCTGCAAAGGCACAAAAAGCCGTACAACAATGCTGTCTTGTGTGATGAAAAATATCCTTCATACTGCTATTAATGACAACAGTATTGATCTCTTGGCCACTCACTGTGACACATTTCTAAGCACTCCAGGAACAAACATGCTCATTATCTGTGCTGATCTATTGACACGGCAGAATTAACACACATTATTCCCAGAGCCTCTTCCACTTGCTGCTATTGTCTGGGTGAGCTTCAGTTATTAAAGTCTTAGGATGTGAATGCAGAATTTAGAGAGGACACAATCAAACAGCTGCTTGCACATAATACCAGGGCAGCCATGCTGAGCACAAGATTAATTTCAAAACCTGTACCATGGTAATAGCTTTATTAGGTCAACCACAGAAACACAAAAATCTACCTTGAAGCTGTTAGGCCATTGTAGAAGAAAAGGGAGTTGAGCAATTATTCCCAACTACTCTGCAATTAAAAATGACCTCTTCTTATGGGCAGGGATTTGAGCTCCAATGAGTTACAAGTTTCACACAGAACTGGCTTTAGCTGCTTTGACTGACAGCATTATGTACTAAGGGTGGAATGAATATTTGCTGTCGGTCTTCCATATCTACAAGTTCTGCATCCAAGGATTCAACCAAACACAGCTAAAAAAAAAAATCGAAATAAATACCCCCAACCCCCCCCCCCCCCCCCCCCGATTTTTCCAAGCACTACTCTGGTTGAGACATTGTTGGGAGATAGCACCCTTCTCCATTTAATGTTATGTCTGTTTATAATGTGTGGTTTTATTTCCTGAAGGGTATGTCTTCTTTGGTTTGCAGTTTCTTTAGCTCTATGTACTTGAGGCAGTGGGAGGGGCTGCAGATCATGTGACTGTTGAGAATGTATTTTAAACAGAAGTCAGTGTTAGAAATTAAGTCAGTTTGAGTACAAAAGTCTGTTTTTCAGTCAGATGTCAGCGTAGGAAGTTAGCAAACGCTTGGTGCTTGAATTCTTTGAAAGTAGACTCTTATGTAATGGGAACTGTACAGAACAATATTGTTTTGAAAAGACTGTTCAAGAAAATAAGATACAAACTGAAACGTTTTGAAGTTTAACCTGACAAGAAATGTGCCTGTATCTTTAAATACATTAAGTAATGAGTAAAATAAACAAGTTATTTTTAAAGAAGTCTACTTGAATCTTTGTCTGATGAGAGTGTGGAATAGAAACAAGATATTTACGAGCCCAGTGATCATCCATTACTCAATAAACTAAAGGCATACCTCCATATATCTGCTACCCAATAGGTTATGATCCTAACAGGCCATAATCCCCAACAACTTGTGATCCTGTCATCTTTATCCCAATAGACATAGCTTCCTGCCATTTCATAGATCCTTGAGCACTCTCAGGCACTCATTTAAGTTGTTCCCCATTTCTATGATTCTATAAGGAGATTCCATCTGAACATTAAGAACTTTCTGACTGTGAGAGCTGTTCAGCAGTGGAACTCTCTGCCCCAGAGCATGGTGCCTCCTTCTTTGGAGTTTTTTAAACAGAGGCTGGATGGCCATCTGTTGGGGGTGCTTTGAATGCAATTCTCCTGTTTCTTAGCAGGGGGTTGGAGTGGATGGCCCATGAGGTCTTTTCCAACTCTATGATTCTATATAAGGTACATAATTGAAAAGGCCACTGTATATAATGGAACCTGACCATTCTCATATTTTGGCATCCACAAGGGATCCTGAAACCAAACCCCAGTGGATCCCGAGAGCCCACTGTATGTGTTTCACTGTTGACATAGGAAAAACCGATTGGGAATAATTCCACAGCGGTAAGAACCAATGGTATTCCCTGTAGTAACCTATGGATGTGAGAGCTGGACCATAAGGAAGGCTGAGTGAAGGAAGATAGACGCTTTTGAACTGTGCTGCTGGAGGAAAATTCTGAGAAGTGCCTTGGACCGCAAGAAGATCCAACCAATCCATACTCCAGGAAGTAATGCCCGGCTGCTCACTGGAGGGAAGGATATGAGAGGCAAAGATGAAGTACTTTGGCCAAATAATGAGAAGACAGGAAAGCTTAGAAAAGACAATGATGCTGGGGAAAATGGAAGGAAAAAGGAAGAGGGGCCAACCAAGGGCAAGATGAATGGATGGTATCCTTGAAGTGACTGGCTTGACTGTGAAGGAACTGGGGGTGGCCACGACCAACAGTGAACTCTGGCATGGGAAGGTCCATGAGGTCACAAAGAGTTGGAAGCGACTGAACGAATAAACAACAACAAAGAACCATGTGCAGTTTTTGCCCAACATTCATAGATCCTGAAGTGTTTCAGGAAATTATTCTGGGCAGAAATACGCAGAAGAAGAAAAAAAATATGGAAATGATTCATCCTTGCTTGTGAGGACAAAAAAGTCACAGATTTACATCCTTATGTAACTCTATATTGGGAACATGATAGGAAGAGCATGCCTCCAGTTATTTTACAGCATCGGTTGGAAGCTCTTAACATCACTGATTACAGTATTCCGCTGGAGCATTTTCCCAGGTAGAGGATGCTCTGAATGCATCTGCACTGTAGAACTGATGC